TGTGCGTGGTTCATTAGTGTGTGTGGTTCATTAGTGTGTGTGGTTCATTAGTGTGTGTGTGTGTGTGCAGGGTTCATCAGTGTGCGTGGTTCATCAGCGTGCGTGGTTCATTAGTGTGTGTGCGTGGTTCATTGGTGTGTGTGGTTCATTAGTGTGTGTGCGTGGTTCATTAGTGTGTGGTTCATTAGTGTGCATGGTTCATTAGTGTGTGTGTGTGGTTCATTAGTGTGTGTGGTTCATTAGTGTGTGTGCGTGGTTCATTAGTGTGTGTGTGTTCATTAGTGTGCGTGGTTCATTAGTGTGTGTGTGTGGTTCATTAGTGTGCGTGGTTCATTAGTGTGCGTGGTTCATTGGTGTGCGTGGTTCATTAGTGTGCGTGGTTCAATGGTGTGCGTGGTTCATTAGTGTGCGTGGTTCATTAGTGTGCGTGGTTCATTAGTGTGTGTGTGTGTGTGTGGTTCATTAGTGTGCGTGGTTCATTAGTGTGTGTGCGTGATTCACTATGTGTGTGCGTGGTTCATTAGTGTGCGTGGTTCATTAGTGTGTGTGGTTCATTAGTGGTTGCGTGTTGTGTGTGTGTGGTTCATTAGTGTGCGTGGTTAATTACTGTGTGTGTGTCATTAGTGTGCGTGGTTCATTAGTGTGCGTGGTTCATTGGTGTGTGTGGTTCATTAGTGTGCGTGGTTCATTAGTGTGCGTGGTTAATTACTGTGTGTGTGTGGTTCATTAGTGTGCGTGGTTCATTGGTGTGCGTGGTTCATTGTGTGTGTGGTTCATTAGTGTGCGTGGTTCATTAGTGTGCGTGGTTCATTTAGTTGCGTGGTTCATGTGTGTGCGTGGTTCATTAGTGTGTGTGGTTCATTGGTGTGTGCGTGGTTCATTAGTGTGCGTGGTTCATTAGTGTGCGTGGTTCATTAGTGTGTGTGTGTGTTCATTAGTGTGTGTGCGTGGTTCATTAGTGTGCGTGGTTCATTAGTGTGTGTGCGTGGTTCATTAGTGTGTGTGGTTCATTAGTGTGTGTGGTTCATTAGTGTGGTTCATTAGTGTGCATTGTGTGTGTGCGTGGTTCATTATGTGTGCGTGGTTCATTGTGTGCGTGGTTCATTAGTGTGTGTGCGTGGTTCATTAGTTGTGTGTAGTGTGTGTGGTTCATTAGTGTGTGTGTTGTGTGCGTGGTTCATTAGTGTGTGTGGTTCGTTCATTAGTGTGTGTGGTTCATGGTGTGTGTGTTCATTGTGTTCATTGTGTGGTGGTTCATTGGTGTGCGTGTTCATTGTGTGTGTGGTTCATTAGTGTGCGTGGTTCATTAGTGTGTGTGTGTGTGGTTCATTACTGTGTGTGCGTGGTTCATTTAGTGTGTGTGTGGTTCATTAGTGTGTGTGCGTGGTTCATTAGTGCGTCTTGGTGTGGGTGTGTGCGTGGTTCATTAGTGTGTGTGTGTTCATTATTGTGTGCGTGGTTCATTAGTGGTGTGCGTGGTTCATTGGTGTGCGTGGTTCATTTGTGTGTGCGTGTTCATTGTGTGTGTGTTCATTAGTGTGTGGTGTGTGGTTCATTAGTGTGCATTAGTTGTGCGTGTGTTGGGTTGTGTGTGCGTGGTTCATTGGTTGTGTGGTTCATTGGTGTGCGTGGTTCATTAGTGTGCGTGGTCATGTGTGTGTGTGGTTCATTAGTGCGTGCGTGGTTCATTGGTGGTCATTAGTGTGCGTGGTTCATTAGTGTGTGGTTCATTAGTGTGCGTGGTTCATTATTAGTGTGTGTGCGTGTTAGTGTGTGTGTGCGTGGTTCATTAGTGTGTGTGCGTGGTTCATTAGTGTGTGTGCGTGGTTCATTAGTGTGTGGGTGTGTGTGGTAGTGTCATTGCGTGTGTGTGTGTGTGGTTCATTAGTGTGTGTGGTTCATTAGTGTGTGTGTGGTTCATTAGTGTGCGTGGTTCATTGGTGTGCGTGGTTCATTGGTGTGCGTGGTTCATTGGTGTGTGTGGTTCATTAGTGTGCGTGGTTCATTAGTGTGTGTGTGTGTGTGGTTCATTAGTGTGTGTGCGTAGTTCATTGGTGTGCGTGGTTAATTAGTGTGTGTGTGTGGTTCATTTGTGTGTGTCATTGTGTGTGGTTCATTAGTGTGTGTGTGTGGTTCATTGTGTGCGTGGTTCATTTGTGTTGTGTGTGGTTCATTTCATTAGTGTGTGTGTGTGGTTCATTAGTTCATTGTGTGCGTGGTTCATTGGTGTGTGTGTGTGTGGTTCATTAGTGTGCGTGGTTCATAGTGTGGTTCATTGGTGTGTGTGGTTCATTAGTGTGTGTGGTTCATTAGTGTGTGCGTGGTTCATTAGTGTGTGTGGTTCATTGGTGTGTGTGGTTCATTAGTGTGCGTGGTTCATTAGTGTGTGTGCGTGGTTCATTAGTGTGCATGGTTCATTAGTGTGTGTGCGTGGTTCATTAGTGTGTGTGGTTCATTGGTGTGTGTGTGTGGTTCATTAGTGTGCGTGGTTCATTGGTGAGTGTGGTTCATTAGTGTGTGTGGTTCATTAGTGTGTGTGTGTGGTTCATTAGTGTGCGTGGTTCATTAGTGTGCGTGTGTGTGGTTCATTAGTGTGTGTGTGGTTCATTAGTGTGTGTGGTTCATTGGTGTGTGTGGTTCATTAGTGTGTGTGTGTGGTTCATTAGTGTGTGTGGTTCATTAGTGTGTGGTTCATTAGTGTGTGTGGTTCATTGGTGTGTGTGGTTCATTAGTGTGCGTGGGTCATTATTGTGTGTGTGTGTGTGTGTGTGTGTCTCCAGCAGAGGGCGCTGTGCACAAAGTGCTGACTCACTGCAGCACAGAGTCATGTGACGTATTTGACCTTCAGCATCCTGTGACCCCCAGAGGTCAGAGGTCAGGACCACAAGAGTCCTGGTTTAGTCCCGGTTCAGTCCTGGTTTAGACCTGGTTTAGACCTGGTTTAGTTCTGGTTTAGTCCTGGTTTAGTCCTGGTTTAGACCTGGTTTAGTTCTGGTTTAGTCCTGGTTTAGTCCTGGTTTAGTCCCGGTTCAGTCCCGGTTTAGTCCTGGTTTAGTCCCGGTTTAGACCTGGTTTAGTTCTGGTTTAGTCCTGGTTTAGTCCTGGTCTAGTCCTGGTTTAGACCTGGTTTAGTTCTGGTTTAGTCCTGGTTTAGACCTGGTTTAGTTTCTGGTTTTCTGGTTTATCCTGGTTTAGTCCTGGTTTAGACCTGGTTTCTGGTTAGTTTAGTCCTGGTTTAGTCCTGGTCTAATCCTGGTTTAGACCTGGTTTAGTTCTGGTTTAGTCCTGGTTTAGACCTGGTTTAGTTCTGGTTTAGACCTGGTTTAGTCCTGGTTTAGTCCTGGTTTTCTGGTTTTAGTCTGGTTAGTTCTGGTTTAGTCCTGGTTTAGTCCCGGTTTAGTCCCGGTTCAATAAAGACTCGTTCTGGTTTCATTCTTGTTTATTGGTTATGATGAAGGCGTTGCTATGGTTACATTCTTTATAATATTCGACTATAGGAGACAAGGAAGGAGGCAAGGAAGGAAAGAAGGAAGCAACTAGGAGATAAGGAGGGAGGAGTTAGGGCGTAGGAGATAGGACGTAGGAGATAGGACGCAGAAAGTGGCGAAGAGACGGTGAGACGGCGCCGACCACGACACGCGGCTAATCTAACGCAGAATACTCGAGTACGCGGAACTGAAACGGTACGAAGCTCCACCCACCGGCTCGGCCACAGGGTCGCCCACCAAACACACCAGGGGAAGGCACCAAACACGCCGGGGAGGAGGGCACCAAACACCCGGGGAGGAGGGCACCGGGGAGGAGGGCACCAAACACGCCAGGGAGGAGGCACCTGACACACGGGAGGGCATCTGATGCAGCATTGTCAAAGCGTACACGTGTCAGAAGTCTAAAGTGTCTCATGCTTCATGCACTGCGGCTCCTGGCGGCTCCAGACGGCTCCTGGCGGCTCCTGGCGGCTCCTGGCGGCTCCAGACGGCTTCTCGCTCTCACCACGATGCAAAAATAAATAAATTTTTGCATATAAATAAATTTGAATATTTCAGGATTTAAATATTTCAAACAAACTCTACAAACGGCGAGTTCACCTCACCCACAGCTGTTTTACAATATTTACCAAGATAACCCCGCCCCTTTATCGATATAACCCCGCCCCTTTACAGAGATAACCCCGCCCCCTTCCTGACCTAACCCTGCCCATGTAACAGAGCTAACCCCGCCCCTCACGCTGCATAACTCCGGCCCCCCCCCCCCCCCCCGTGACCCCGCCCCCTGTGACCCCGCCCCCTGTGACCCCGCCCCCTGTGACCGAGCCGCGCACAAGAGCAACAAAACTCCAGGTGAGTTCATTACATCATCGGCAGAAAATCATAATAATAATAATAACAATGACGTCATGGTGACATCACCATGACGTCATCGGTCGCCGGGCGGAAACGTCTTGTGCTTTTCTCAAACACCAGAAGCAAAACGGAAAAACAAAGATGGAGGACGCGTTAGAAAAGGGGTCCGGTTTGGTCCGGTCCGGTTTGGTCCGGTCTGGGTCCACACTGGTTTCACATTAACCTGATTTATTCGTTTTATTTCTACAAATTGGTCGTTTTTGTGCAGCAAATTAATCTAAAAACTAAAATGTGACTTAACCAAATCTAAAACAAAAGCCACAGCTACTTCACCAGGACTAGACCAGGACTAGACCAGGACTAGACCAGGACTAGATCTAAACCTATGATGGATTTATAAAGTATTTGAAGGACTTACGCAAAAGTTCTACTGTTCTTAAAAGTTTTAAAATTATACACAAACTAAACAAGAACTAAACTAACCTAAACCAGGACTAAACTGAACCAGGACTAAACTGAACCAGGACTAACCTAAACCAAAACTAACCTACAGATCAGGTTTAAATGGACCAGTGTGGACTCAGACTTCAGTTTTAATATTTTAACATTTTCATATTTATTTGTAGGATCAAGGTCAGAATCCGGTGCAGGTTCAGTCCGTCAGGTCCGGTTCAGCCAGTCTGACCCGGTTCAGTCTGGTTTGGTTCACTCTGGTCTTGTTCTGGTCCGGTTTGG